CCGATTAAACTGACCCAACCTAATTGATTTTGGGCGGATGCGTATTTTTTGATGGATGAATACGGATGAAATATTTTAAAATTCGTAAATACGATTTGGATGATGGATCTACTATCTCGCATCTACATGAATCCGATCCGCCCAGGGCCCGCCCTGAGATTTAGGGGGCCTAAGGCAAATTTTGAAAATTGGGGCCCCTCTTACATTGAAAAAAAAGGGTTCACGGATAAAACGATAAGTTACAACTTTTTTATTTGTCTGTAGTCACAAAAAAATTTACTTGCACAAATAATTATTAAAATTATAAACAAAACAATTTAATGAAACAAAATTAGGGCAAAAAAATTAAGAAAAAATCATTAAAATTATATTTTTATTTTAATAAATATGGGCCAAACTACACTTATAAATAAATATAGGATAAACCATATATGGAGCCAACAAAATATTTTGGGGCCCTTTAAATAGATCCTTAAAAAAAAAAAGGGAAATTACCCATAGGTCCCATGTGGAACATGTGGACACCATTTAATCCCACAACTTTTTGAGTACACCCAAAAGTCCTTTCCCCTCTCTCTCTGCTTTTTGCTTCCCTCTTTACGCCTCCTCCTCTAACCCTAATCTCAGTCCTAAAGTCAAACAAGAAGGCGATGAAGAACAAGAACAAGAAGACGATGAAGAACAAGAACAAGAAGACGCTCATCCTCAGATCTGTACTTAGATTGAACAGATTTGTGTATATATCTTTGTCAATTTCTCTCTCTTTCTCTCTCTATTTACAGATTTTTTTTGGGATAGTTGTTGATCTATGGTTGTTGTTGTTGATGATGAAATAGATCTATAATATCATTGAAACAGATCTGTAATGACTCAGATTTGTACAGATATCACACAGATTTGTAATGAGAAAATTTTCAAATTCTGAACAAGTAATTTTCGAGTTTTAGTTACAGACGGTGAAAACTGTAAAATTTTGCAGTTTCAAATTTTTTTTTTGGTACTGGAATGAATCATGGTTTAAAACTGTAAAATTTTGCAGTTTTATAACATTCTTTAGAACTGTAAAATTTTACAGTTTCATAACATGTTTTAAACATTCCGACGAGTCTCCGGCGATGTTGAACATTCCGACGAGTCTCCGGCGATGTTGAACATTCCGACGAGTCTCCGGCGATGTTGAACATTCCGACGAGTCTCCGGCGATGTTGAACATTCCGACGAGTCTCCGGCGATGTTGAACATTCCGACGAGTCTCCGGCGATGTTGAACATTCCGACGAGTCTCCGGCGATGTTGAACATTCCGACGAGTCTCCGGCGATGTTGAACATTCCGACGAGTCTCCGGCGATGTTGAACATTTCACCTTGGGAAGGAATAGGGACCATAACCTTTTAAAGGTTGTAATTGGTTTTCAAAACTGAAAGGTTGTGGAAGTTTAAAAGGAATGAAAACCAACTTTAACCATTATTGGTTTTAATTTCTATTTATTGGTTTTCAAAACTGAAAGGTTGTGGAAGTTGAAAAGGAATGAAAACCAACTTTAACCATTATGTTTTAATTTCTATTTCTGCCCCTCATAGAAATAGAAATTATACAACTAGTATCTACACATTAGGTCCATAACACATATACCCTTAAGCCTATTAACTAAATTGAATCACTTAAATTGTAGGCTTCTTATAAATGATAACACCACATTTAATTATGTGGTCCCATTGAGACATTATCTAACATGAACTCCACGGTTCCGGATTGGAACCGATCCGAACCGTATACAAATAGTCTTTACTTTTATTATACACTCTCCTGCATAGTATTTTCTTTTATTTCATATAACAGCAATGCTAGGTATCATGAAAAGTCTTTCATGAAAATAATCATGAAAGATTTGTAACCTTTGGATTACACTTACAATAAAACACCACACAATAATCAAGATAATCTAAGGGTCACAAATTTTTCATGATCATTTTCATGAAAAAATTTTCATGATCCCTAACATTTCTCTTTATATAAAACTTAAATTCAAACCTAAACTTGCATAATATCTTCTTTTATTACTTTTGTTTGCTAGTTTTTAGTGTTAATTTGTAATGATCTAAATACTTATAGTGAAACTAATTTTTTTATAGTTGTTTAAATTTTAGAACAGTTTGTCGCTATTACGAAAAGACATGTTGCTATTATGAAACTAATATGGTGCTATATTTATATTTTTATGAAATTGAAGTGTTATATATATATATATATATTTTGTTATTTACTTATGTAAATCCGTAGGCCTAAGCCGATCCAATCCATGTTTAAATGGATTGGTTTGAATTGGTTCCACGATTTAAATAGATTGGATTGGTTCTAATTTTTCAAGATCCGTAAATAATAAGTTGGTCCTGATTTTATTCCAATCCGATTCAATCCGAACTATACCCACCCTTACCAGCCTTATGCCGTCCGCTGTATGGAAATGTGGAGTTTACACAAATTGACATTTCAAGTCAAATTTGTACATATTGACATTTCAAGCCTCACTATTATTTTTTTTTCTTTTTTCCTTTTTATTGTAGAAAGGGCCTCACTTTTTCTATGTAATCAGTTTTAATTGGTGGAGAAGCAAATTAACAGGGTGATTTAAAATCAAAAAAAAAAAAATACAAGTCCGCTACATAGCTCGAAATCATGTGCGTCAAGTGGCTCAAATTTTATTTTCTATCTGCTGTGTGCGTGTGTTCAACTCAACTTCCACACCCACACATTTCATTTGGAGAAAAAAAAAATAAAATGGAAAAGAACAGAGACTAGAGAGAGAGGAGCACCATCTCCTTCGTAACCTAGCGGAACAGGGAGAAAGCTTTGCAGCGGAACAGTGAGAGGAGGGGGTAACAGACCTGTGTGCCGCCACTAAGCACCGATCTGGGTCCAGATGGTTGTGGACCGGAACCATAAAAATTATCAGGTGAGACAAAACGACTTGCATCGCGTACATCCCCAACAAAGCTAAAGCTTCTTCAATGACTTTGTACTTCTTACCTGGAATGATGCAAATTTGGGGGAGAAGAGGAATTGAAATCAGATTGATGGGGAGGAAGAGCTATGCGAGTATAGAGGAATTGAATGGATTGTTGTCGGCTGCTGCGAATGCGATTAATGGGGAAAACAGGGGAGGGAGAGGTGGAAGAGGGGTTGCCAATACTGTTCTGGGTTACAGACAGTACTAAATTTCATTGTTTGGTTTCATCTTCAAATTTGTTAAAGATTTTTTGGTTTTTTTTTTTGGGGTTTGGGGGGGGATTGAATTTGATTCTTTTATTTTTGTTTTGAGTTCTCAGAGATCGTTTATGAGATCTCTATTTTTGGGTTCCCTTCCAATTGTAAAGCTTTCATTTGAGTTTGATAATAATAGTGTACAGAAGTTATTTTATACTCTGCTTTTCTAATCATCTTCTTCTGTTGTAGAGATTTCGGTGAAGAATAAAAGGAAGGGTTTTTTCTGTTTGATTTTCTCTGTTTTTTTTTTTAGTTGGACTATGCTTGTATGGATTGCTGTATATACAAAAAGGATTCAAATACCTGAAATTTCTCATAGTTCTTAATTGTTAGGGGCTAACTTCTTTGAATTTAGACAAAGACTAACTCATGGTCTAAGTTTATGGTTAATTAATGGGCTTAGCATCTTCCAAGTTCTGATTCATTTTTTGACAAGAAACAAACCAAAAATGATAATCATAGAGCATTAGAATGATATGAATTCGAATTCGTGGAGCACCAAATTTCAAAACCATGGTGACACTTGCAGAACTGGGGACCATCCTTCTATGTAACATTGAACAAAGCCCTACGAGAATATTTGCAATCAGTACGCAATATGTTCATCCAATCAAAAAACAATCTAGCACCACTTATTTTGTTATATGATTATCCATTAATTCAATATCACTTTCCCCTTGTGTTTCAGGTATGACCATAACATCTCTTACCCGAAATCCTCTTGTCCTTGCATGCTACTATGTCAGATTTCTCACAAACATTTGTTTAAGTAATTCCTTTTTCAATATTACTACAGAACCATTGCAAGAATGTCACTACTCAAGTTCATTTCCTTCGTATCTTGTTCCACACCATTAAGCATTACTGGCCTTTAAAATCAGACTCAATACTAAGTTTCCTGCACTAGGCAGATGTTTATCACGCAACAGGTCATGGGCACTGTTTCCCTATTCCAACCTAGTTAAAAATGATGGCAATGTCCCCCACAATCCCCAACACTCACTAAACAAAGTAAAAGCAGAGAGAGAGAGAGGCAGAAGATGAGAAGGCTTCCATGGATAAGATAAAGAAAATTCTGTTTCTCAGTATTTTGCCAATAACTCCAATAGTTCAATCAACCCTTATATAGATAGGCTTGTGCCATAGAGGCCTGGGATGAGAGATTTGGGATGAGAGAGATCTGCTGAGCAGAGGTGAGAGTAATCTAGAATGAGAGAGATTTGCTGAGAGGATGTGAGCTCCTACTATTTCAATGGGTTTTGATTTCGAATAGAGGTAGAAAGTAAAACATAGAGAGGAGAGAGAAAATATTGACAGAAATATATTTGACCAAGTTTCGGCCACTCAAGCCAGAAATATTCGAGTTACAGAGCATTTTCCAAAAAAATAAGAGAATCGTAAATCCTTTGTTTTTTGTATTCAAGCATGTCAAATCTCCAAAACAATTATGTCATAATGATTACATATTATTTGAGAACTTAAAAAAAGATTCGAAAGGTACCTGAGGTAACTTGAGTTACACAAGAAGAGGTACTAGCATATAATGCATGCAGTAAGAGAACTGTAAATTGATTTATTCATTATTTAATCAAATGTTGCACGCAGCAAACAAAAAAAAAACACAAAAAACAGAAAAACAAACAAACAAATGTTGGAAGAAAGCTGCGCATTTGATAGATGCAACAACATTACATTAAAAAAAAAAAAAAAAACAAAACAATACACAACACAAAGAACTAGGCATTGTTCTCATTCAAGAAACAAGCCACTCGTTTGAGCATAGCCACAGCATTTTCACAAATCGGTTTGATCAAGTGGAACACATGGTCCTTCCCTGCAACCTCCATAATCTCCACCACTCCTCCCCACCCGCTCCTCTCCAACTCCTCCTTGTAATATCGACCCCTATCCTTCAAAAAATCTTTCCCAACTACACATACCAACACCTTGTCACAAACTACGCTCGAAAACTTCGGATCCACAACCGGGTTGAATAACGGGTCATCAGACCCAATAGCCGATCGATACACAAAGAGCCAGAATTTATCAGTGGCCGCGCCATCACCTTCAGATCCAATTGGGTCCTTCCCTCCAAAATATGGATGGATTAAAACCATCCCAACAATCTTCACACCATCCAGCCCATCCGACCCGACCCGAATTGCCATGTTGTGTGCTATGTTACCACCTGCGCTATCTCCTGCAAAGAAAACCCGATCAAAATCAACGTATTCCTTTAGCCATACCTCACCACCTCCAGCCGAGAAGTGAGAAACAACCCACTTGACAGCAGCCCAAGAATCATCGTAAGAGAGAACTGTAAATTGATTTATTCATTATTTAATCAAATGTTGCACGCAGCAAACAAAAAAAAAAACACAAAAAACAGAAAAACAAACAAACAAATGTTGGAAGAAAGCTGCGCATTTGATAGATGCAACAACATTACATTAAAAAAAACAGAACAATACACAACACAAAGAACTAGGCATTGTTCTCATTCAAGAAACAAGCCACTCGTTTGAGCATAGCCACAGCATTTTCACAAGTCGGTTTAATCAAGTGGAACACATGGTCCTCCCCTGCAACCTCCATAATCTCCACCACTCCTTCCCACCCACTCCTCCCCAACTCCTCCTTGTAATACCAACCCCTATCCTTCAAAAAATCTTTCTCAGCTACACATACCAACACCTTGTCACAAACTACGCTCGAAAACTTCGGATCCACAACCGGGTTGAATAACAGGTCATCAGACCCAATAGCCGATCGATACACAAAGAGCCAGAATTTATCAGTAGCCGCGCCATCACCTTCAGATCCAATTGGGTCCTTCCCTCCAAAATATGGATGGATTAAAACCATCCCAACAATCTTCACACCATTCAGCCTATCCGACCCGACCCGAATTGCCATGTTGTGTGCTATGTTACCACCTGCGCTATCTCCTGCAAAGAAAACCCGATCAAAATCAACGTATTCCTTTAGCCATACCTCACCACCTCCAGCCGAGAAGTGAGAAGCAACCCACTTGACAGCAGCCCAAGAATCATCGTAAGCGATTGGGAGAGGGTGCTCGGGGGCTCTTCTATATTCAACGGAGACAATAACGGCGTTGGCTTCGGTGGCGAGGGAATTGAGATTGTTATGGTACATGGGAGAGAAGGCGGTTTCAATGCAGAAGCCACCGCCATGAAAGTAGACTATAAGAGGAAGTTTGTGATGTGGGTTGGGGGTTTTGGGGATGTAGAGCCTTGCAGATAAGCCAGTCTCTGGATCAATTACGACATCTTTGGATTGGACACCAGTTTCGGGATTGATTGAAGGAGGGACAACATCGTTGCCAATGAATCTTTCTACTCTGCCATCTTTGTAAACTCAAATGAATGGTGAAAAATCATAGGCTATTTCTTCAGCTGTGCTTGAAGCCATGGGGATGAGAAGAAACTAAACACACAAAAGAAAAAGTAGTGGCCTTTTCTTTTTGTACATTTATTGAAGGAGGATTCGTATCATCTCCATTTAGTAGTTGTAAATTTTATTTTATTTTGAATAGTAATAGTTGTAATAATTCCTGATCTCATGACATCATTCATTAATCAATAATGCTAGGTATCATGAAAATAATGTCATGAAAAGTCTTCATGAAGATTCTCCACCATTGATTAGATTATAGTGTTTGTAGTGTTTTATTGTATGTTATGCATTCACCATTGAATTAGTTTCATGAAGTTTTTCATGATATTTACTTCATGATACGTAGCATTACTCTTCATCAATTGTAAAATATTTATACAAATTTACTGTTATATTAAATTAGGCAAAGAGTAATGATAGAGATTTTAAAAATTTTATGAAAATTTTTACCAATGTAGGACTTATGTTACGTGAGTTTCATGTGAGTCTCACATTTATATAAAACATTTAGTAGAAATTGTGATAAAACTTTTGAAATATCTAGCATTTTTGTGAGAAAAAAATTATACAATTGTCAAAGTAAAAGTCATTAAATGATGTAATAGTGAGAGGATTGGGTGTGGGATCCCAAACATTTTATTAATATTAAATAGATGTAAGATTCACATGAGATCCACATGATATGACCTTATATTCATATAAAATATTTGATAAAAATATTGATAAAATTTTTAAAATTTTTAATATATATATATGCATTTATTTATTTTTGCCGTCGCTTACGGTTGATGAGTTGCTTCATGCAAAGAGAAGTGATTGAGACCCCCTCAATCACCAACTCCCACCACTCCATAGACACGTGGGGGTTGGTGATTGGAGGAGGAGAAGAAAAAAAAAAATCTGGCTAATCAAAGGTCTGTGGGGGTCGTGGGGTCATTCCTGGAAGGGGTCTGAATCATTTTTGCTTATGCGAAAAGAAAGTGATTGAGATCTCCTCCAATCTCCTCCAATCACCACCCTCATCACCCCACACACACACGTCAAGACTAGAGATTGGAGGAGAACAAAATAAAAAATAAAAAAAACTAACCCATCACAGAGTGGGGTCATGGTTGCCCTTTGTGGGTCCAAGTCATTTTCTCATGTGAAATAGGGCACCTATCCTGTGGGTCCCATGACAAAAATGGAGAAGACTTAACGTTTACTTTTTCAAAGCTATCGTCATCTACCTTTCTCTAATCAGTTTTCATTTCTCTCTCCCAACTTTTTTCTTTACCATCTCATATCAGCCCAATGCCAATTCTCTCGACCTTGGTTTGTAGCAACGGATAGATGTTAATGTTGTCGGATGTAATCATGGACATCCAATTTTTTCATATCTGCAGTCCAATCGATCGTGAAAAAAATATGGAACACAAAAACAATTAATGTTCATTTTATCATGCAGCAAAAGACTTAAATTGGAAAGTGAGTGTTTTGTTTCAAAGATGTTGATGAAGAGAATAGAATAAAAAATGAAGTATAATCTTAAATTGGAAAGTGAGTGTTTTGTTTGTGTGCGTTGTGTGTGACTGCCACAATCTAAATCCGCTCCTATAAATTTAGCGTCAGTGAGTAAATCTAAGATTACCGAAGGTTTTACGGAACGAGAATTGTTACAGTGGCCCACCTATGTTACAGAAAACTGAGAGATGGTTCTCTTGTTCCAAGTTTTTGTGGCTGATGAAGTCTATTGATTAGAAAGAAAACTTACAACCATGAAAGATTAAGAAAAAAAATTTAGTTTCTGAAGCCCAGAAACGTTGTAGCAGTGTCCTTTACTCACTGTTTTTGTGGAAAAATGCATGTTGATGATCAGTTTTGTGATTAAAAATTCAAATTTAGTGTAATCTGTTTATGAATTTTACATATCTATAAATGTTTGTTTGATGATTTTTTTCGTACATTAGCCTTTAAAAAATCTCCCTAGCAGTTCAAACTAGTAGTTGAATTAGATCTTGGGGTCCAAGTCCCAAGAGAAGTAGGGAGACGAAGAGTAGGGAGAGAGAATAATTAATAAGTTTAGAGCAATGCTGGGTATCATGAAAAAACTTTTATGAAAATGATCATGAAAAATTTATGACCTTTGGATTACACTTAAAATAAAGCACTACACACTAATCAAGATAATCCAAGGGTCATAAATTTTTTATGACCAGTTTCATGAAAGCTTTTTCATGATCCCAATCTTTTTTCATAAGTTTAACCCGTGAGTAAACGCTAATTTCTCCTCCGTTAGCCTTTGTACACTCACATAGCAGGTGACTTATTTTTGTGGTGACAAACAAGGCATCAAAATCATGATATATGACAAGTTACTTGCCGATTGGGTTATTTTATTTCATTTGTTTATAAAATTCTAGAACAATGGTCAATCTATGAAAATGATATGAAATAAAATGCCTAATAAAATTTGAAGGCACCTTTAGTAGTTGAATACGTCAAACTAAAGAGATAGTTATAGTCATTTTTTATTTGTTAAGTAAAACCATAAAAATTATAAAAATAAAAAATAAAAAATAAAAAATTCTTTACTTTTTGGCAAACTGACTGGTGCACACCTGCCTTATGGAAGTGTGAGTTTACACAAATTGATATTTCAAGTCAAATTTGTACATACTGACATTTGAAGCCTTACTTTTTTTTCTATGGAAGCAGTCTAATTGGTTGAGAAAGGAATTAACGGGATGATTTAGACCATGTTTGGTATGGAATTTTTTAATTATTTTAGTTATAAAAAGATAAAATAAATTAAAAATTAATAAGATAAAATATCATATTTAAATTATAATCATCTTATTTTTTCTCTCACAAAAATAAAACAAATTAAAAAGTCCATCACAAACGAGATTTTTTAATCTCAAACTAAAATAATTAAAAATCAACCCGCATCCCAAATGAAGGCTTAAAATTACAAAAAATGAAATCACAAAACCTTTTTCTTTCTTTTTTTTTTCCATCAATACCATTATACCTACCGGATTTGTTTAGCCCGAATTTGTCTGCATAAGTTTGTTTTCGGGAGGAGACTCGTGTACAAGAATCCCTTCCTGAAAAGAAACTCATTCAGATGAATTCAAACTAAACAAATTTGATAGACGAACTATTAATCTTTTTGTATTCACACATGATCTCCAAAACAATTATGTCATAATAATCACATATGAGAGCGGAAATTTATGACACGACACGATACGATAATACGATTCAAACCGAATATGAAATTAATGGGTTAGAAATGACTATTTCCTGACATGAATATGAAACGATCCGATAACACGAATATTAAACAGATCGGGTTAGTATCAAATATGTATAACACAAAATTGACACGGATAACCCATATAATGAAAATTATTTACCCATTTTAATATTATTTCCACTAAAGCGTATCATGAAATTTTTTAATTTTTTATGTAATTACATCTAATTTATTAAAAAGTATATAAAATACAATTTTAAGTTTAATATAGATATTGTTTTTGCTTTAATTAAACTTCTAACGTATTTTTGTCTATTAATCTAGTAAAAAATATAATTATAAAATATATTTTTAAAAATTAAGAAAATCAAATTAAGTTGAAATCAAATATTTTTTTATAAATAATTTTATTTAATAGAGATTAGTTTCATTAAATTTAACTTATGATGATATTTTTAAATTTTTTTCAAACATTTCATATTTTTAGTTAATAGTGAAATTTGTTGACATGACATATTAACATGACATAAACCGAACACAGACCGTAAATGATGTAACACGATAACACAAAATAATAAATGAGTCGAGTTAGTATTGAGATAATTCTGACATGAATCTAAAATAATATGACACGAACACGGCCAAACGCAAACGCCCACCCATACTAGCATATAATGCAGTAAAAGAACTGCAAATTGATTTATCAATTATTAAAAAATGTTAGAGATCTCAAATATTTTATCAACATTTCGACAAATATTTTACTTGGGTGTGGAACCCACACCATATAGGTCTCATGTGAGTCCCACACTTTTATAAAATATTTAGTAAAATATTAGTAAAACATTTATATCCTAGCATTCCTCTTCATTATTTAATCAAATTTTGCAAGAAAGCAGAGCATTTGATAGATGCAACAACATTACATTAAAAAAAACAGAACAATACACAACACAAAGAACTAGGCATTGTTCTCATTCAAGAAACAAGCCACTCGTTTGAGCATAGCCACAGCATTTTCACAAGTCGGTTTAATCAAGTGGAACACATGGTCCTCCCCTGCAACTTCCATAATCTCCACCACCCCTCCCCACCCACTCCTTCCCAACTCCTCCTTGTAATACCAACCCCTGTCCTTCAAAAAATCTTTCTCAGCTACACATACCAACACCTTGTCACAAACCACGCTCGAAAACTTTGGATCCACAACCGGGTTGATTAACGGGTCATCAGGCCCCCTAGACGATGGATACACAAGGAGCCAGAATTTATCAGCAGCCGCTTTCCCAATTTTGTTACCATCATCACCTTCGGATCCAATTGGGCCCTTCCGTACGAAATATGGATGGATTAAAACCATCCCAACAATCTTCACACGGTCCAGCCCATCTGACCCGACCCGAATTGCCATGTTGTGTGCTATGGTACCACCTGCACTATCTCCTGCAAAGAAAACCCGATCAAAATCAACATACTCCTTTAGCCATACCTCACCACCATCAGCTGTCGAGTGAGAACCAACCCACTTGACAGCGGCCCAAGAATCATCGTAAGCGATTGGGAGAGGGTGCTCAGGGGCTCTTCTATAATCAACAGAGACCACAACAATGTTGGCTTCGGCGACAAGTGAATTGAGATAGTTATGGTATGTGGGGGAGAAGGCGGTTTCGATGCAGAAGCCACCGCCATGAAAGTAGACAAGAAGAGGAAGTTTGTGATGTGGGTTGGGGGTTTGGGGGATGTAGAGCCTTGCAGATAAGCCAATCTCCGGGTCAATTACGACATCTTTGGACTGAACACCGGTGTCGGGATTGATTGAAGGAGGGACAACATCGTTGCCAATTAATCTTTCTACTCTGCCATCTCTGTAAACACGAATGAATGGTGGAAAATCATGGGTTATTTCTTCAGCTGTGCTTGAAGCCATGGTGATGAGAAGAAACTAAACATAAGGAAAGAAAAAGTGATGGCCTTTTCTTTTTGTACACTTACTGAAGGGGGATTCGTTCATCTCCATATAATAGTATAATTTTTTTTTTTTTTTAACATCGAGATCTCATTACATCATTCGTTAATTCTAAAATATTTATGTAAATTTACTGTTATATTAAATGAAGAAAAAATTTATACAATTGTTAAAGTAAGAGTCATTAAATGATCTAATAATAGAGAGGATTGGTAAAAAAAAAGAGAATAAGCTCCGTTTAGTTTAGTTTAAATTTGAAATGAATTTTCAGTTGTATTTTGAAAGTTAAATTATTAAAAATTCGTTTGATTATGAATTTTGAAAATAACTCCGAGATGATTTGTAATTTTTCTTTTTTTTAGTTAAATAGATGACTATGAGAGAAAATAGATTGATTGGTATATAAAATGTGAAAGAATCAGAGATGAGATAGGAGAGAAAAAATTATTAATTGATTTATTAATAAATAAAAAAAATGGAAAATGAATGAAAAAATTGAGTTTTAAATTATATTTTAAAATTTTATGAACCGAACAATTTTATTTTATTTTTTTGATCGAAATCATGTTTTGAAAACTAGACCAGTTTTGCCACTATTGCACAAGATGTAATCGCTTACGATTGATGAGCTGTTCCATTAATAAGCCACCGACCCTGTGGGTTCCATAACAAATTTAGTAATTGACGGAGAGAAAAATGAGAACACTTACCCAGTGTTTAGTTAGAGAATTTGATGAGGGATTTGGAAAAAAAAGAAAAAGGTTAAGTGAAATATGAATAAAATATACTTATATTTCATCTAATTTTACACATTTTTTCTCTTTTTCTTTCCAAATCTCTCTCAAAATCTCCCAATCAAAAATAACATTAACGTTTACTTTTTTCAAAGCTATCGTCGTCTACCTCTCTCTGATCAGCTATCATTTCTCTCTCCTAACTTTTTTTTCTTCCCTTTTTTTTTTCATTTATTCAAAAGAAAGAACTTTTTTCTTTACCACCTCATATCAGCCCAATATCAATACTCTCAACTTTGGTTTGTAGCAACGGATAGATGTTAATGTTGTGTAGGAATGGCAATGCGGCAATGGGGTGGATATTAATTCCTCATCCCCATTTTCTTATAATAAATTTTTCTCATTCCCCATTCTCCATTCCCCATGGGTACCACCCTCCCCATTTTTTAATGGGTATGGATTTTTCCCAACCCACTTTAATCCCCATTTTTTATTTTTATATTTAATTTTAACAACCCCTTTTTTTTTTTTTTTTAAGGTTCACAACAAAACTAAATATACATTCAATCTTATTTTATTTTATTTGGTTCAACAACAAAATCAAATGCACATTAATTAATTAATTAAAAAGTTTGATTTATAATAATCAAATATATAATTTTGAGACAATCAAATAAGTTTTAGTAATTAAAAAAAATGTGGAAGAACGTGGAACGAAATATGGATGGATTAAAACCATCCCAACAATCTTCACACCATCCAGCCCATCTGACCCGACCCGAATTGCCATGTTGTGTGCTATGGTACCACCTGCACTATCTCCTGCAAAGAAAACCCGATCAAAATCAACATACTCCTTTAGCCATACCTCACCACCATCAGCTGTCGAGTGAGAACCAACCCACTTGACAGCGGCCCAAGAATCATCGTAAGCGATTGGGAGAGGGTGCTCAGGGGCTCTTCTATAATCAACAGAGACCACAACAATGTTGGCTTCGGCGACAAGTGAATTGAGATAGTTATGGTATGTGGGGGAGAAGGCGGTTTCGATGCAGAAGCCACCGCCATGAAAGTAGACAAGAAGAGGAAGTTTGTGATGTGGGTTGGGGGTTTGGGGGATGTAGAGCCTTGCAGATAAGCCAATCTCCGGGTCAATTACGACATCTTTGGACTGAACACCGGTGTCGCGATTGATTGAAGGAGGGACAACATCGTTGCCAATTAATCTTTCTACTCTGCCATCTCTGTAAACACGAATGAATGGTGGAAAATCATGGGTTATTTCTTCAGCTGTGCTTGAAGCCATGGTGATGAGAAGAAACTAAACACAAGGAAAGAAAAAGTGATGGCCTTTTCTTTTTGTACACTTACTGAAGGGGGATTCGTATCATCTCCATATAATAGTATAATTTTTTTTTTTTTTTTGACCATCGAGGTCTCATTACATCATTCGTTAATTCTAAAATATTTATGTAAATTTACTGCTATATTAAATGAAGAAAAAATTTATACAATTGTTAAAGTAAGAGTCATTAAATGATCTAATAATAGAGAGGATTGGTAAAAAAAAATAGAATAAGCTCCGTTTAGTTTAGTTTAAATTTGAAATGAATTTTCAGTTGTATTTTGAAAGATAAATTATTAAAAATTTGTTTGATTATGAGTTTTGAAAATAACTCTGAGATGATTTGTAATTTTTCTTTTTTTTAGTTGAATAGATGACTATGAGAGAAAATTGATTGATTGGTATATAAAATGTGAAAGAATCAGAGATGAGACAGAAGAGAGAAAATTATTAATTGATTTATTAATAAATAAAAAAAATAGAAAATGAATGAAAAAATTGAGTTTTAAATTATATTTTAAAATTTTATCAACCGAACAATTTTATTTTATTTTTTTGATCCAAATCATGTTTTGAAAACTAGACCAGTTTTGTCACTATTGCACAAGATGTAATCGCTTACGATTGATGAGCTGTTCCATTAATAAGCCACCGACCCTGTGGGTTCCATAACAAATTTAGTAATTGACGGAGAGAAAAATGAGAACACTTACGCTGTGTTTGGTTAGGAGAGAAAAATGAGAACACTTAAGTGAAATATGAATAAAACATACTTACATTTCATCTAATTTCACACATTTTTTCTTTTTTTCTTTCCAAATCTCTCTCAAAATCTCCCAATCAAAAACAACATTAACGTTTACTTTTTTCAAAGATATCGTCGTCTACCTCTCTCTGATCAGTTATCATTTCTCTCTCCTAACTTTTTTCTTCCCTTTTTTTTTTTCATTTATTCAAAAGAAAGAACTTTTTTCTTTACCACCTCATATCAGCCCAATACCAATACTCTCAACTTTGGTTTGTAGCAACGGATAGATGTTAATGTTGTGGGATGTAATCATGGAAATCTAATTTTTCATATCTGCAGTCCAATCTATCGTGAAAAAAATATGGAACAGAAGAACACAAAAAGACAATTAACGTTCATTTTATCATGTAGCGGAAAATGCTATAGAGTCAAATGAGTTAGTAAATACTCTACCAAACCTCTTACATATGTGTGGATCCACAACTATGTGATTTGTATGGGTTTCATACCCATGTGAGAGATTTGATATAATATTTAATAATTCATTTTGCATGCCTAGCATAATTGAAAGACTTAAATTTGAATGTGAGTGTGTTGTTTCAAAGATGTTGATTAGGGGAAGATAATAAAAAATAAAATATGATCTTAAATTGGAAAGTGAGTGTTTTGTTTGTGTGTGTGTTGTTTGTGACCCACTTATCTGCTGGAGAAAACAGAAAGCTGGTTCTTCTCTTGTTCCAAGGTTTTGTGGCTGATGGAGTCTATTGATTAGAACGAAAATTTGTAACCATGAAAGATTAGCAGAGAAATTTTTGTTTCTAGAGCCCAAAAGCGTTGTAGCAGTGTTCTTTACTCAATATTTATGTGGAAAAACGCATGTTGAAAATCAGTTTGGTGATTAAAATTCAGATTTAATGTAATCTGTTTATAAATTTTACGTATCTGTAAATGTTTGTTTGATGATTCTTTTCGTACATTAGCCTTTAAATCTCCCCAGCAGTTCAAACTATTAGTCGAATTAGATCAAGCGACACAGGAGATGGATGAGGAAGAATTCATATTTAAGTCCAAGTCCCAAGAGAAGGAGACGAAGAGTAGAGAGAGAGAGAGAAAAAAAAATAATGATTTTGATCTTTGAGTAAACATTAGTTTCTCCTCCGTTTGTCATTGTACATCATTAAATTTTATTGTGAGTCACATAACTAGTGTCTTGTTATTGTGGTGACAACACATCATGAAAAAATATCAAATTTTTTATTAAATAGATAATTAAATACCTTATTTAAGTACGAGGATTTCATATTTATGTAAGATATTTAATTATTTATTTAATAAAAAAAATTAGACCTATAACATTTTTCAAATGACAAGTTACTTGACCATTGAGTTATTTTATTTCTAGAACAATGGTCCATCTATGAAAATGATATGTAATAAAATATCCATTAAAATTTGAAGGCAACTTGAAAATAATGTAAATTTATATTGTGTTTAGTTGGGAGATTTGGAAAGACATTTAGAAAGGGAAAATAAAAAGGTATGTGAAATTAGGTGAAATGTAAGTATATTTTATTCACATTTCACTTAATTTTTTCATTTTTCTTTCTAAATCCCTCCTCAAATCTACAACCAAACACAACGTTAGTAGTTGAATTCGTCAAACTAAAGAGACACTTAGGCCTCGTTTGGGAACAGGCTAATTTAGTAACTTTTTGGCTATTTGGCTAAAAAGGTAAGTAAAAAAAATTTGTATGTTTGGGATGACTTTTTGGCTAATTACGAAAAGATGTGCAAAAAGTAGAGAGAAGAGAGAATCTTTGACTTTTTGGTATGGGTTGTTGGCTTTTTGGCTAATTTTAGTAACTTTTTAACTAATTGGCTAAAATAGTCTCTTGCCAAACGAGGCCTTATAGTCATTTTTAATTTGTTAAATAAAACCATAAAATTTATAAAAAAAAAAAAATTTAAAAATCTTAACTTTTTGGCAGACTGACTGACTGGTGGATGGAACTCCATCACCTGCCTTGTGGAAATGTAAGTTTACACAAATTGACATTTCAAATCAAATTTGTACATATTGACATTTCAAGCCTCACTTTTTCTATATAATCAGTTTTAATGGCTTGAGATGCGTGATTTAAAATCACAAAAATAGGGGAATCACAAATCATTTTTTTATTTGTATGGTTACCTCAAATTGTTTAGTTTGAATAAGTCTGAATGAGTTTGTTTTCGGCAAGAGACTCACGCACATAAATATGAGTTCCTTTTCTAGAAAAGACTCATTTAGGCGAATTCGAGTTAAACAAATTCGACAGACGAATCATTAATCTTTTTACATTCATATATGTCAAATCTCAAAACAATTATGTCATAATAATCGCATATTAGTTGAAAACTTCTAAAAAAAAATGGTAAAAACAAAAAAAAAAAAAGTTTGAAGGGTACTGGAGGTAACTTAAGTTACGCAATAAAGTACTAGTATATAGGAATAGCAACGGGGCGGGGCCGGAGACTACACTCTCCGTCCCCGATCCCCGAAGGCTAAAAAATCTCCGTCCCCGCCCTGATCCCCGACGGGGGAACCCATCACCCCTCACGTCCCTTAACGGGGATCGGGTTTCCCCAACCCCGAAAAATCCCCGAGCTTCAACACAAGAACAACAAATCAATATATATCACTATGTTTCATCATCATCAACAAATACAGATTTAAATTTAAAAAAAAAATTAATCACAGTGTGAATACACCACACAAATCAGATCACAAACACACAGATATTGCCATCCCTACACACAGATTAGATCACACACACACACACACACACACACACACACACAGAGATAACAGATCTAACAGATCTGAGTACACCTCCATCGTCTGGCATAGATCTGAGCGACGCCAGTGACTAGGGCTGTGCAAAAATACCGCCCAATCCGCTAAACCGCACTGATCCGCATCAATCTGCACCGCTCTAATCGCTAACCGCAGTTTAAACTTTAAAATTTATAATCCGCCAACCGAACCACTCCGCTCCGCTCCACTATAGTTAATACATGTATATTTTTTAACATCCAATGAAATATCAATGTAAAAATGAGTGTGAGAGAGATTTAAGATATGAAATTTATTACAAATTAATAGTTATATATATGAAACATATTATGTAAAATTACTTTGCGTTATATATATAAAATATTATACAAATTAGTGTTATATATTATGCAAATGTATGATAATTAGTTAAAATATTCTTTAATTCGCACATCCGCCAAAAACTGCCCAAATCGTAATATGTCAATCCGCTATTCGATTTGTAATTTTAGTCTCAAACCGCCCGAACCGCACTATGCACACCCCTACCTGCTCCTGCTCCATCTCATAGTCATGTCTTCATTCTCTCCCATAGTGAACCTCATGCATCCTTTGATTCTATTACATCATCTTCTACACTAGAGGTATCTCTTCGTCATTTTACTCGGGTAACACAACCTTCTGTACTTCTTCGTGATTTCATTGCTAGTTCTACTGCCTTTTCTTCTCATGAACCTACTTCCTATCAAGAGGCTTGCCCTAACCCTCTTTGGAAGCAAGCTATGACTGATGAATTTGAAGCTTTTGCTAAAACTCATACCTGGGATGTAGTTAACCTTCCACCTGGAAAGAGAGCTGTTAGTTGCAAATGAGTTTATAAGATCAAAACCCATTCTGATGGTTCTATTGAGCGTTACAAAGCTCATCTTGTTGCTCGGGGGTTTACTCAAGAATATGGGATTGATTACGAAGAAACATTTGCTCTTGTTGCTCGTCTTACTTCAGTTCACAGCCTACTTATCGTTGTTGCTACTCGTTGTTGGAGTCTTTGTCGGATGGATGTCAAGAACGCCTTTCTCAATAGCGATCTCATTGAGGAAGTTTATATGCATACTTATCTGTTTGTATCTCTATCCCTATCTTGTATCTCTATCTTTATCTCTATCTCCTTGTATTTATATCTTCTTCTATACTTATCTAGATTTCTTTTCAACCTATATATACAGGCTTCGCCTATTGTATTCATTTGTTCAATTCAATAATACAGATACACAATTCTCACAACACGAATCTGAGATGGTCTGAAAATGACAGGAAACAATAATACGAAATAATAAATAAGTTAGATTAGTATTAAGATAATTCTAATACGAATTCGAAATACCATGACGACACCCCTACTAGCATATAATGCAGTAAAAGAATCGTAAATTGATTTATTCATTATTTAATCAAATTTTGCAAAAAAGCAAAGCATTTGATAGATGCAGCCACATTACATTAAAAAAATAGAACAATGCACAACACAAAGAACTAGGCATTGTTCTCATTCAAGAAACAAGCCACTCGTTTGAGCAAAGCCACAGCATTGTCACAAGTTGGTTTAAACAAGTGAAACACATGGTCCTTCCCTGCAACCTCCATAATCTCCATCACCCCTCCCCACCCGCTCCTCCCCAACTCCTCCTTGTAATACCAACCCCTATCCTTCAAAAAATCTTTCTCAGCTACACATACCAACACCTTGTCATAAACCATGCTTGAAAACTTCGGATCCACAACTGGGTTGAATAACGGGTCATCAGACCCATTAGACGATGGATACACAAAGAGCCAAAATTTATCAGCAACCGCTTTCCCAATGATGTTACCGTCAGCACCTTCAAATCCAACCGGGCCCTTCCCTCCGAAATATGGATGGATTAAAACCATCCCAACAAGCTTCGCACCATCCAGCCTGACCCGAATTGCCATGTTGTGTGCTATGTTACCACCTGCGCTGTCTCCTGCAAAGAAAACCCGATCAAAATCAACGTACTCCTTTAGCCATACCTCACCACCATTAGCGGTCAACTGAGAAGCAACCCACTTGACAACGGCCCAAGAATTGTCGTATGGGATTGAAAGAAGGTGCTCAGGGGCTCTTCTGTAATCAACAGAGACAACAACGATGTTGGCTTCGGCCACAAGTGAATTAAGATAGTTATGGTATGTGGGAGAGAAGGCGGTTTCCAGGCAGAAGCCACTGCCATGGAAGTAGACAAGAAGATGGAGTTTGTGATATGGATTGGGGGTTTTGGGGATGTAGAGCCTCGCAGATAAGCCAGTCTCTAGATCAATTACGACGGCCTTGTTTGGTTTGTATTTGAGAAACATGTTTTGAGATAAAAAGTACGAAAATTTGTTTGGTTTAGCTTTTTTTCAAAAGATGTTTTGAAAAATTATTTTGAGAGAGTTTTAGAAAAAAGTGATTGATTTGATGTGTATGAGAGAGAGATTTGTTTGGAAAATTTGTAAACCAAACAAGTTTTAGAAAAAAAATTTAGAAAAATTTGTTTGGTTTGATTACTTTTGAAAACTTATTTGTAGAGAATTTTTTGAGAAACACAAACCAAACAAGGCCGACATCTTTGGATTGGACACCGGTGTCAGGATTGATTGAAGAAGGGACAACATCATTGCCCATGAATCTTTCTACTCTGCCATCTCCGTAAACTCGAATGAATGGTGGAAAATCATGGACTATTTCTTTAGTTGTGCTTGAAGCCATGGTGATGACGAGAAGAAACTGAACACAGGGAAAGAAAAAGTGGTGGCTTTTTCTTTTCTTTTTGTACACTTACTGAAGGAGGATTCGTATCATCTCCATTTGATAATTGTAATAATTGAAGATCTCAATACATTGTTCAACTCCCATTGGAGTTTAAGTTTTCAACAATGATTTAGACCCCAATTTTGGGAGACCCCACAACCTCTTTGGATCTCCACCATTGATGGGCTGGATGGTGCAAAGCTGCTTATGGGGCTGCCTATTTATATTTTTGGGCTGCCTCTTTAAAAAAATACAAACCTATTAGGTTGCCTATTTATTTTTTTTGGGCAAGTATTGGGCTACTGTTGGGCTGCCTATCTAAAAAACAAATAAAAAAACTATTGGCCCTTATTTGGGGTGGGGCTGGGCAGGGCTGGGCTGGGCAGGGCTGGGAGAGGTTACGAGGCTGGGCTAGACTGGGAGACTGGGTTGGAGTGGGCTGGAAAAAAAAAATGTTTTAAATTTTGGGTTGGGTTGCAGCCACCTATACGTAGCCCTAGGTCCGCCGTTAGGTGACAGATTATAAAGAGAGAGAAAGAGAGAGATTTGATTCTAGAGAGTTGAATTTGAACAGATATATGTGGATTAAAATATATGGATAGCTTGATCTTTTTGCATAAACTTGTTCTTATGGACGGAATGTTTTAGCGCTTGGATTTGTAGACAAAGAAAATTTAAATTTAAATTTGTCACATGAGTGTCCTAATAACATATATACCATTGAAGCAATATAATCTATTCTTAAAATTTAACTTCAACTATCCATTTTAACAATGCTTCATGAGAGATGTTCTAGGGGTTGTTTAGGGTGTTCTAAATAAATGTACTTTTTATTTTTTTGAACTAAAGGAAAAAAAAATATGGATGTTTGGGTTAACTTTTTGACTTTTTATGAAAAAATGTGTATTAAAAAATTATATAAATAAGTGTATAGAGGAATAAAGTGATGGAATAGGCCGTACGGTTGGAAGCCTAAATGGCAGCGCAGTAGAGGACAGTGTAGGAGATTGATTCTCTACTTTTCGGGCATAAGGTCGGTTTTGTTCGGCCCATAGGGGCCCACCACGGATCCCGTTTTACCAATTGGAACCGTTTAATGTGTAGAACTCGTCGAGTACTATATGCTTGTAAAAAATCACGTTTATTGGATATTGATAGCTATCTGATCGTTTTAGTTTTTTTTGTTAACTATTAACTATAACACCATTCATTTTTATACAAAACTGATTTGATCATGTATTTAGCGATATCCGATAGGCGTGATTTTTTACAAAAAAATAGTACTAGACGAGTTCTACTTATTCAACAGTTCGGATTATCAAAACGGGACCTATGGTGGGCCCCCATGGGCCTAGCTCTACCATTCAATTTAGTGAATATTTTACTATAATTTTTTTTCCTCCCCGGTTAGTGACTTCACCATCTCGTCAGTATCAATCCATGAGTTTATTTTTTGATTTGTATTAATATGTGTATATTATTTTTTTAATATTTTTTTTTGGTGAATATTGTTAACTTTTTAACTTTTTAGGTAACTTTTTGTCTTTTTAGATTTTTCAAGGGTTGCCAAACTTGGCCTTATAGTATACAAAATTCATAAAGTCCATAGTGTACACAATCTATTCTTTGTAAGTGTTTGGAAAGTGAGTTTTTATGTAGGTTTTTTAGTTGTAAGATATTATTGGATAAAAATTTTTTGGTGATTGGGAAGATAGTTGAGTTTTTTGTGGTTGGATGTGATGGTTGTAAGAGAAAAAGTGAAATGATTATGAAGTTGGATGTGATATTTTGTTTAAATTTATTTTTTTTTATTTTGCAAAAACCTTGTCTTTTAGTGAAAAAAATAAAAAAAAAATCCAAAACCAAATCTTGCCAAACACACAAAAAATTTGGATCCATCAAATCATTTGAAAATCTTAGAGCATCTCTATGTGTACCTTCAAAATTTGATATGTTAAATATTTTTAAATGTCAAAATGATATATGTAAATCGACAGGTATAGAATGAAACATTCTATCCATTTCCTCAAATTTGCACCACGTTATCATGTTTAGTTTCTAAATCTTTTTGTCTCACCTACCAATACATTTTTGACAATTTGATAATATTATAAGATTTTTGTGCCTGAAAATTTTAATAATGATTGAAAATGTATTAAAAGATAATAACATGAAATATTTGAGAAGAGTATATTTGACACCTCCACCAAGAACACAAATCCTTTGCTTTATTAATTACTAATGGAATTTAGCAAGAAGCATATAATAGGTGAGACAAAGGTTTGTAAGACAAAGGACGAATTGCTGCCTAGGCTTTGCTCTAATTCATGAAAGAAACCACTCGTTTCAGCTTAGCCAAAGCATTGTCACAAGTCGGGTTAAACAAATGGAACACATGATCCTCCCCTTTAGCCTCCATGAGCTCCACCACCCCTCCCCACCCACTCTTCTCCAACTCCTCCTTGTAATACCAGCCCCTATCCTTCAACAAATCTTTCTCAGCCACACATACCAACACCTTGCCACAACCCAGGCTCGAAAATTTTGGATCCTTTACCGGATTAAATAACGGGTCATCAGATCCGTTACACGATGGGTAAACAAACACCCATAATTGATCAGAAAACGCTTTTCCAATCAAGTTAGTACCTTCATTTCCAATTGGGTCATTTCCTCCAAAATATGGATGGACTAAAACAATCCCAACAAGCTTCACTCCATCCAGCCCTTCCAACCCGACCCGAAGTCCCATGTTGTGTGCTATGTTGGCCCCTGCACTATCTCCAGAAAAGAAGACCCGATCAAAATCAACATAGTCCTTCAGCCATACCTCGCCAGCGGCGGCGGAGGAATGAGAAGCAACCCACTTGACAGCGGCCCAAGAATCATCGTAAGCGATTGGGAGAGGGTGCTCGGGCGCTCTTCTGTAATCAACAGAGACCACAATGATGTTGGCTTCGGCGACAAGTGAATTGAGATAGTTGTGGTACAGCGGAGAGAAGGCGGTTTCGATGCAGAAGCCACCGCCATGAAAGTAGACAAGAAGAGGAAGTTTACGGTGTGGGTTGGGAATTCTGGGGATGTAGAGCCTTGCAGATAAGCCAGTCTCTGGATCGATAACCACATCTTTGGATTGGACTCCAGTTTCTGGATTAGTTGAGGGAGGGACTGTATCGGTGCCTTTGAATCTGTCGACTCGGCCGTCTTTGTAAACTCGAAGGCCTAGGATAGAGAAATCGTGGGTTACTTCATCGGAGATTGAAGAAGCCATTTCTGAAACAAACAAACAGTGCAGCGCAGTGGTGGTGATGGTCTAAGTCTTCACAGACTTTTGATTGATTGAGAGAGAGAGAGAGAGAACCCAATTGATGGGATCAATTTATTAGACCATATAAATTCGGAGATACCGGTACGTGAATCATGATATACGCATGATGTTGTTTAGGATATGTTATTTTAATTGGTTATTTAATTTTATTATTATTTTAATTTAATTAAAAAAATTATTTAAAATTATAATTGATTTGATAATTATAAATAAAATAAAATAATTATAAATTAAATATAATATTTTATTTTATTAATTATTTTGATTTATTTTATTTTTATTAATTATTTTAACCAAATAACATTTAGTCAAACAAAACTTATATAAATTGGAAAATTCAAAAACATAATCAAATAAAGTGATCCACGCTATCATAAAGAAAAGGCAAAATAATATTGTGGCCAGGGCGGCAGGAATATTCTATTGAGGGACGTGATAGGAAGGCTAATAGAATAAGGAAAATGCCTAAGACCTAGGTCATTGATTGGTTCAAAAAAAAATTATTTTATTTTTTTTTCAACAAATAGGGGGCCACCATGTCATTAGGGGTCGACCCCACCGGGGAGAAAAATGCCTAAGACCTCAGTTGGGGATGCTGGGATCGTGCCTGTAGGTCATTGATTGGTTCAAAAAAAATTATTTTATTTTTTTTTTCAACAAATAGGGGCCGCCATGTCATTAGGGGTTGACCCCTACTGGAGGTATGAATCACGGCCCATAGAATAATTAGCTTAAAAAAAAAAAAGGCAATCACTTTGCTTAGTTAAAATTTTCTAAAACAGTCATGCTTCCGACCTCCAGTGGGGTGACCCCCACTGACAACCCCCAGTGACGTGTTAGCCTATCATTGATTGGAAAAAAAAAAAAGCTTTTTTGCCCAATCACAGCCGACCCCAGCATCCCCACTGGGGGTCCAAAACTTTATTCTTTCTAAAAATATTTTTTAAAAAATTTTATTTTATTTTTTTGTTTTTACTAATTTTTTTAATATTTTAAGTAATTTTTTTTAATTTTTAGATATTCTTAACATAAATATACCTAAAAAGTAAAAAAATTGTGAAAAAAATCTTTTAAAAATTCACTAAATACCAAAAATATAAAAAAATACGATAATTCAATACATTTTTTTTTATTTTTATGTATTTATTAATTTTTTAAAATATTTTTTCACAATTTTTTTACTTTTTAGATACATCTAAGAAGTGGTTTAAGATGATCTAAATAAGAACATTTTTTGACTTGTTATGAAATATGAGTTGGGTATGGATTGGATTTGACGTAATGTGGCAGAGAGGTAATGTGACTTAAATAAGATTTGTATGAAATATGGGTTGGATATGGATTGTGTCTGAAGTAAGAGCATCTCCAATGGTGAACCAAATTTTTCATTAAATTTGAGTAAAAAAAAGCCAATTTTTTCAATCTGATATGACTTGCTCCAACCGTGCATCAAAAGAGAAAGGTCGACTGATAAGGGCAAATTTTTTTTTTTTTACCTGTTTGAACCTATCTATTTGAAAGGGAACCGGTCGACCAAATGGTGAAATCTGGAGCCTGTTCTCACTTTGATGAATTTCTTGTTCGATTTTCATTTTGATACCAATTTGGTGAAACCATTGGAGCTCCAAAAAGTGACTTTTTCACCAAACAAAAATGATTTTTCCCTCGATTTTTGCACCCCCGAACAGCTCGAAACAGATAAAAGAGAGAAAGAGAAGAGGGAATGAAGAGAGAGAGAGAGAGAGAGGGCCCCTCCTCCCCCTCCTCCGCCGCCGATCGATCGTAGATCGACTGGCAGCTCGTCGCAACCCCGCCTTCGCCTCTGACCGTCGTCGCCCCCGATCTCTCTGTCTCTCTCTCTCTCCCTCACTCTCTCTCTACTACTCCTTCTTCTTCTTCCTTCTTCTTTCTTCTTCTTCTTTTCTAATTGAAAAAAAAAAAATTCAAAACGACGTCATTTTTGAATTCGGAGGGATTCGGGGGCCTCTCTTTCGAGCTACGTAGCACAATTGTTCACCAAATTTCAAATTTGCTCAGTTTGATGAACCGTTAGAGATGGTCCAATGCAGTAAAGAGATGATGTGACAATAAGATGATGTGATTTAAATAGGATAATGCCTTTTAATTTTTTTGATTTTTTTAACTTATGACAAACAAGACCTACATAAGGTATATCTAAAAAAATATAAAAAATGTTTAAAATTTTAATAATATTCACTAAAAATAAAAAATATAAAAACTAAAAAATTTAATATTCAAAAAATTTTAAAAAACCCAAATCATACCCTCTGAATATAATTCTTTATTTAAGAATTGTTTAGAATCACCTAGGTATATTTTACTTCATCGGAGATTGAAGAAGCCAATTTTGAAAAAAACAAACAGTGCAGTGCAGTGGAGATGATGGTCTAAGTCTTTATAGACTTTTGATTGATTGAGAAAGAGAGAACCCAATTGATGGGATCAATTTAGTACCATATAACAGAAGTGACGGAGATTATTAAAAAATATAACACTAATTTTGGTTTGAATTTTTTGGATTAACTTTTTTAAAAATTAATTTTTTTAATTTTTACATCTTTTTATTTTTAGTGAATATTTTTAAAATTTTAAATATTTTTTTACTTTTTTAGATGCACCTTACTTAGATGTATCTAAAAAGTAAAAAATTTATAAAAAAATTAATAAATATATAAAAATACAAGAAATGTACTGAATTCTTATTTTTTTTTTTATATTTTTGGTATTTATTAAATTTTTAAAAGATTTTTTTTTTACAATTTTTTTACTTTTTAGGTGTATTTATGTTAGATGTGTCTAAAAAGAAAAAAAATACTTAAAATATTAAAAAAATTCAGTAAAAATAAAAAAACACGAAAAATAAAAAAATAAAATTTTCTGAAAAATATTTTTTGAAAAGTGAAAACAAGCAACTTGATAGTTCTAATAAGTTAAAAAATAGTATTAAAAAAAATAATAATAAAGACAACTAGGGGTGTGCGGGAGTCGGTTGCGGCCACAGAACCTCCAATCTATCATCCGTCCGCCAGATTGACGGATTGGAAAAAATCAATCCGCATCCGTCTGCCAATCTGGCGGATGTGGATTGAGCGGTTTGGCGGATGTATGCGAATTGGTTTGGCGGTTTAAAATTTTATAATTTTTCAACATAATTTAACTTGTACACTTCCTCAAAAAAAAAAAAAAAGAGTATTACAATCAATGACTTAAAAAACTATTACAATCACTGTATGTCTCATAAAAAAAAAAAGTTTGAAATTTTAGAATATCACAATCACTGCATGGCTCATCCACATATTACAATCACAGCATGATTCATCCATATAAAGTATTACAATATGTGGTTTTTAAACTATAATAACAATTCAAACCACCAAAACCATGAACATGGCAGTAATAGAGACTGTATGTTTCTGTATTGTTACATCTATATATGTTTTTGAAAACAAAAACGAACCAACGTATGTCATATTTTCTATTTATTATTTTTAGAGTTAAATTTAAAAATCAAAAAATATAGATAAATAATACGTTTATTTTTTCCAATTCAAAAAATATATTCAAGATGAAAACTTTTTTTCAACAGAATATGTAAACTCTTTTTCAATTAAAAACACAAACAAAATATTTAAACAAATTGAAAACATAAAATCTTATAAATTATTAGGAGTGCTCGCGGTTTGGCGGTTCGGTTGCGGCCAAAGGAATCTCAAATTCGCCATCCATCCGCCAAATTGGCGGATTGGAGAAAATCAATCCGCAACCGTCTGCTCGTCATCACGCATCTGTCTAAAATGTGACGGATCGGTTCGATTCGATCGATTTAGACGAATCGATATATCCGCTGCTCACCCCTAAAGACAACAATCACATTAAGAGAGGAGCCAACTCATTAGTGTCTCCCTAACACTCCTTTTTTAGTGCTTTCAACATTAATCAACCATATAAATTCGGAGATACCGGTAGGTGAATCATGCTACGGACATGGACTTGTTTAGGAGCATGCTATTGTAGTTGATTATTTAATTATTTAATTATTTTAATTTAGTTAAAAAAATTGTATTTAAAATTATAATTGATTTGATAATTATGAAAAAATAATTATAAATTAAATTAATATTTTATTTTATTAATTATTTTAATCAAATAATATATAGTGAGGCTTCGTTTGGGAAGCTCCACTTGGGATTTTTTTAGCTATTTTAGTCACAAAAAACAAAGTAGACTTTTTAGTTCAATAAGATAAAACATCACATTCAACCCATAATCATTATATTCTTTTTCTCACAAGAAATCTAAAAAAGTCAAAAGTCCTTTCCAAACTAAATTTTTTAATCCCAGACAAAAATAATTAAAAAACCAACCCACTTTCCAAACAAACTCAACAAAACTTAAAATTGGAAAATCCAAAAACATAATCAAATAAAGTGATCCACGCTATCATAAAGAACAGGAAAATAATAATGTGGCCCTCTAGCTCAAAAAAAGGGAGAAGAAGAAAGAAGGAAGTGTTTGCCTGCTATGGATCGAACATAGTCGAGAGTGAAAACCAAATCGATCCAACAAAAAGAGAGAGAGTGTGTCGCCAAATGAGATCTCCAAATCGAGCAATGGTCTTCACACCCTGAAGGGATGATTACATTTGGAAAATAATCTAAGAGTCTCATCTTCTTGAAATTCATACAAGCAAACAGAGCACTCTAGAAGGAACAGAGCACTCATTCAAGCAACCCACATCTGTGATTTCAATTTTTTTTTTTTTTTTGTTGGTAAAATCGTTTGTATATTTGTGTGTTTTGATTTATAAATATATATTTATATATCCTCTTTATGGTTTGCCTCTGTTTTCATCGCCAAGTATGGGATCTGTTTTTGAAGCTATCAAGGAACTTCCACAATATTGAAATCGATGATCAATTCAAATAGCCCCCTAATGATTTCTGCGTGCTTTCTCATTCATTGTTCATAGGTTTGGTTTCTTCATTTTATTTTATTTTTAATCTTTTATTTTATTCTATTTTTCTGTGTTCAAAAAACTGTTGATTAT